GGTGGGGTAGAAAGTCAGTCAGTCAGTCAGTCAGTGAGAGGTAAGAAGACTGTGTGTGGTTTTACTGCAAAGGTGAATGGACACTGCTGGAAAACAGAACCTCGCGTACAAGATCATTATATCTAGTATGAGAATGGAGGTGGAGGCAGTAACAGCAGCTTTACGATGGCTTGAAAGCAGAACAGTCCAACAAGTTGTAATTGTAACAGACTCACAGAGCATGCTTCGGAAAATTGAAACGAGAGAGCTTGCATCACTTGATAAGACTCACATCAAGAGCCTCACATCAAGAGCAAATCATCAATTTTCTGTCCAGGATATTCAGGTATGCGAGGTAATAAGCAGTCTGTTTGACCACCATTTCTGGTATGTCGTGTCAATCTGAGGGCCCTTAGACGGCCATATTTGTGTTGCCATGAGGGTCATACATGACAACTAACTCAAGTCAGTTAATAAAAATAATTGTCGAATATTTATTTGTGCAGGTCTCAGGTGTGCCTGCAAAGGGTTGAATGGGGTCAGCCGGTTGGACATGTCTGCTATAGAATATGTGAAGATTAGCCCTTTAAAAACTAACTGCTACAGAAAATATCTGCTTAAGACTTTGACACAATTAAACTTTTTGGGGCCAGGACAAGCAAAGTTCTTCCTAGTGTTATGGATGTGCACCTGCTGCTTTGTCGTGACTGCTTCTGTCTATGAAAAGCAGTTCTAGTGACAGCCTGTAGATGTTGGTACCTTAGAAGGCTGCCTTATGCATTTGATGCATGTGCGAGCTGTTGGATTGTACCGGGACTGCTGACCTTTCCCATGCAACAGCGATGGACATTTTGTATGGGGAAATTATGGGTGAACCATTTGTGAAGAAGCTAGATGCCTGAATGGGTCAAAGGACAAGCAAACATAAGACACTGGACAGGCAATCATGAGACACGAGAAAGGCAAACATAATATACAGGACAGGCAAACATAAGATGCAGAACAGGCAACAATAAGACAGGACAGGCACACATAAGACGCAAGAGAGGCAAACATAAGATAGCATTAAGTTGCTACAATAACATATCAATCCTGTTATTTGTCAACAGAACCTGTATTCTTTTCTTGAAGCAACCCCACTGGTGCTCAGTCTCACTCAGCAGACATCAATGTATGTATGTGCTAAATACTCCTCTTGCATATTAATGTGTCTGTGCTAGCCTTTAGCTTGTTAGCCCTTTTTTGTTTACAGCTCTTTTATGTTTTGAGCTGTTCATATTTTCACTGCTTTCTTCTACTTTTTTCCTGTTAAATTTCTTGTTCCCCCCCCCCCCCCCCCCCTTACATTTTCAGCGCACTAAGCTGTTCAATGCAGCAACGTTTTCAGTGCACTCCATTGTTCAGTAAAACTATGTTTTCAGTGCACCAAGTTGTTCAATAAAAAAAAAAATTTGCTGCACTCAGCTGTTCAAAACAACAATGTTTTCAGCGTATTCAGCTGTTCAATACAATGTTTTCAGTGCACTAAGCTGTTCAATACAGTAACATTTTTGGTGCACTAAGTTGTTCAATGCGTTTTTTTTTTTTGCACTCAGGTGTTCAATACAACAAAGTTTTCAGTGCACTAAGCTGTTCAATACAAAGTTTTCAGTGCATTAAGCTGTTCAATGCAAAGTTTTCAGTGCACTCAGTTGTTAAATACGTTTTCAGTGCACTCAGTTATTCAATACAACAAAGTTTTCAGTGTCTGTAGTTTTTACTATGTTTGACTACTTTCAGTGTCAGTTTGGTAGTGCGCTCACACTTTTTACCTCCACACACATTCAGACATTAACAAGAATATATTTAATGAAAGCAGCAGTCAACCTGAGGTTACTGCCCTCTCCACAGAGCTTGTTCTCAGATGGCCCCATGAGGGTTCTGGGGCCCCATGCGGGTTCTGGAGCCCCATTATTGAGCAAAACAAGAACAGACCTTTCCAACAAGCATGTCGTAGGAGTCCACTAATTGGGAGCTTTCTTCGAAGTTGAAGTACATCTGCCTGAGAGACAAGGAACAACCAGCCTGCACACAAACAGGCCGGTAAAACAGATGTACATGAATCATGATCTGATACTTACAGAGCCAGTCAGCACTAAGGAGCTTCAGAATATCAGATAGCTTCAGAATATCAGATATCAGCTTCAGAATGTCACGATATCAACTTCAGAATATCAGATGTCAGCATCTTTTTTTTCTTTGTTTAAATTCATTATTTTTTATTATATATTTTTTAAGTAGTTATTTTATTTTTATTTATAGCTCTGCTTGTGCGTGAGGGAAAAAATATGCCGATAAATTGGCTACAAATATGACTGTTTCAGAAACACTTATAATTAACAATGGAGATATTGTGAAAACCATATGTGAACAAATGCTGATAAAAGACAGAATGTTAAATGAAATTGTGTGTAAATATGTGTGAATTAGGAATTAGGTGTGGATATGGCAAGAAAGGATGTTCGAGAGGAGGAGTACAACATGTGCAGCACAACCAGTGTTCTAATGTGAACAAAAATCAGTCTAACTGAATAATAGTACTAGTTAGCTTGACAATACCACAGTCATAAATGACAAAATACTATTGGAACAGTCAGCATCTCTACCTTAAGACATGTCCATGCGCTGTTTTTTAAAACACACCATAGCATTTGATGTGGCCAAAGTATTTCGGTTCATGTCACCATTTGGGGCTTAGGCAATGCGAATGTGGTCTGCAATTCCAAAATAGCTGATTCGATTACAGCTGCAGGCAATCTGGCAGCAGATCACTTTGCACTGATTTTGAATTTGATATTGACAGCCAACTGTTCATACAGCATGGCAAACTAATGAGCCTAGTAAAATCCCAAACTGCCAAAAAACTGCTGAGATAGGTTCTGCAACAGCCTGTAAAACAGGCATGTCAAACTGCGCGACCCAATGACCATAAGTGGTCCTTTGCAGGCACACATGGCTCACCAAAAGGAAGTATTTTACATTTAATTTTTTTTTTATCACTCTAATTAGCTGTCAAGTCTGGCCTTCATAATGACAAATAAATGACCCATATGGCCCTTGGACGACTCTCACCTTGACAGGCCTGCTGTGAGGGATATGCACATAACTTTAATTTCAGTTTCTGAGACAAGACACTGTTTATAAGTCAATTTTCCATGACGTTTAGATCTTTTCAAATGTTCAGATCACACCAAAATACTTTCAGAAAGTATAAATTTATCTACTTCTCTGATTTAATTTACTGTGTTTCAGAAGCAATTCACCTGGCTACTGTTGGGTTCAATCTAGATTTTTTTTTAAATACTATCAGTTTTCCATTCTGTAAAACTGTTGTCTGAATCCAAAGACACCCGAATTCTATCTGAAACAACAAAGTTGAAAAAAGGGTTAAAAAATAGTTATGTTAATAAACCCAAATATTATTACATTTGCTAGTGCTTTATTGTTTTAAGTAAGTATGTCCTTGTATGGGTTCCAGGGCCCCATTGTGGGGGAAAATGACAGATCAGACCATATTAACAAGCATGTCATAAAAGTTGACTAATTACAGGTGCTTCCTTCTACACTGGGGTACACTTACCTGACAGGTGATAACCAACTGACTGCATAAAATAAGCAGATATGTAAAATGAATGTTCAAGCAAAACTCAATTTCTGGAACCTGAATAAAGTCCAGAAGTGGATGAACAACCAGAACTTTCAGTACTTTATTGATATCCTACCCCCAGATGACGTCACAGGACAGTCCAACATTTTAGAGGGTGGTAAGACTGGGTTTCCCGGCTTTTTGATGCTTTTAACGACCCCAAAACATCTAGAACTGGTTCTAACCCAGACCCACCTACGTTGCACAAGAGAGGGCAGCCTAGGTCCCACGACTGCATGCAGCCTATCTACCACCCCTTGAAATATTAGACTGTCCCGTGACCTGTGGATTTTCCCTGTTTGGGGTAGGATATTAATAAAGCACCGAACTTTCTGCCAGAATCTTTATAAGGTGTGCTTTTTTCTTCCTCCAGTTACCATTTAAAGGTGTTTGTGGGGGGGGGGGGGGGGGGGGGGGGGGGGGGATTGTCTGTGTGCTTGTTCTAATGTGATGTATAAGTTGGACTTCATTGGACTTCTGTAACCTACTGACTACCATGATCGCAGGTAAGGCAATCCGCTGCATTTACGCCTGGCTTCCACAATCCCACCCCCTGCAATCGTAACTTTGGACGTTTTTAGTACACACTAAAATACGTGCTATCTAGGAAAGTGCAAGGGTTAACAGGCGTGGTAGTCTGTGGGTTAACCAAGTGATTGTTATCTTAACATATTCTACACCAAAGATTGTGCTTTTTATAGCGATATTTATTGCTCCTCAATAATTTTGAAGAAAAGCTAAATGGCAGAAAGACTTCAAGTAACAACTGAAATGAAATTATGTCAGATTAGTTGTTCAGCAATCACCAACTGCTGATGAGAAAGCAGCAGTAGAAGATGTTTGGTTCAGACAACGGATCAACATCATGGCACAAGGGTAGTAACCCATAAGTGCTCCGTTTTACTTCTAACTCAAGCATGAGTTTCTTAAAATTCTCAGCGCAGTGCATGAACTCTGTAGCACCGGCGAGGTTCCTGAAATACTTCGGGTGGATTTTTAACTCCAAATTTTGCCCAGGCAGTGCAATTAGGCAACTCTTTTCTATTTCCAACTGCCAAGGGATTTTTTTTAACGAGCGTAACAATATACATTGGCGTCAATCTTACTACCCAGAGACAAGGGGAAATTACCAGAAGTCCACGTGAAAAAATCCTAGCCTTCCCGGGGCCTGAACACGTGCCCTCCAGCACTCGAGGCGGATGCTAGACCTCGAGACCACTCAGCAAAATCAATGGCAGAAACAACAGAAGCAAGGGGAAACAGCAGCAAAAGATGAAGCAATAAAAAAGAAGGAGCAGAAGAAGAAGCAACAGAAGAAGGTGGTACACATGATTACCATGACGATGTTGCCATGCCACTGGCCTGCTCTGTCAGTTCCTTGATTCTCTGTTTGAAGATACTCTCACCAGCAATGGATCTGGGTACAAAATAAGCAGAGGTAGACTGGTTAGCACAAAACTGACATCTTAGCCCTGTGGGTAAACTCATCAATGCTCCGTCTCCTGCAGCAACTGTTATAGGCTGTAAAGCTGACCACTGTGTCTGTTTCTCCCTTTGGGCTGCTACTGCACCTCCCATAACTGTCTACTATACCGCTTTTGTTGGGGTGGGACGGGGAGTATAAAACAGCTAGGTCAGGATTTAGGGCCACATGACTAGTGCAGATGCTATGGACTGCAGGTTAGGGTGTTTATTATTGCCCCTGATTGAACAAGCTTCCACATCTTTACTGAGGATTCGAGCCCCAGTTGCCTGCATTCTAACCACTTGGCCAGCCCCTACTCACTTCCATACAGAAATAAAAGTTATCCTGACCGAAACATATAACTACACTTCATTCAAGATCCAAGTGAGTCTGCAAAGGCCTCAGGGCAAGGAACCAACAGTACGCACAAAAATAAGCCTGTAAAATGGATGTGCATGCAAAACTCAAGTCCTGGAACAAGATCAAGGTCCAGAAGTGGATGAAACAGCCAGAACGTTCCGGCAGAGTTTAGAACCGGTGAACGCTAAGAAACAGATATAACTGCACAACTAAACCAACAATCATTAACCTTGCACAGTAAAAAGATTGATATAATACCCCAAAAACATCAAATAATTAACCCCAAAAAAATAATCACGGATCATTTCCTTTGTAGAACATCTCCCTAGTCACAGCTTGCTAGAAATCACTTGTCAATTGTCTCACTATTATCATGCACAATGTGACACTAACATCCTGTCCTCCTTGCTGGCACCCTTCCATCTTTTAAGACTTGTCCACAGGAAGGCATGGGGTTCACAGGCTATGGCGATACCAACTAAGGTCAGGGATGAAATTCCTCCTCTCCACAGTACAAAGCTTATGAATTAATCGAGTAACAGAAAGTGTATTGATCGGCACTCATAGAAAGAAGTAGAAAGATAGAAGAACACACTAGACAACATAAAAATTGAAAGCTATAGTTACCGTGCCGGGAATTGAACCTGTCACCTCCAGACGGCATCTGCGCCTCGCCATGAATACAAGTGCACTAAGAACATGGTCAACTAGGCACCCCCCTAAAAAAAAAGGTGTTTTATTGGCCATGTCTATCCTACAGCTTGAAATCCACAACTATGGAATACGGACAGAATTCATTTCAACCCATTGAAATGGCACCATAGGCTACAGAAATTTATATTAACGAAGCAAATGTTGAATAACAATCACAGCAACAATTTACGAACACAGTAAGACCTTATTGCTTTGTCTAGAATACATAAACATTATGAGTACAAAGCCTGTGCAGTATTGTAAAGATCATGTGTTGCCCATATGGCATGATCCCTCTCTCGACCTGCTTTGTTGACTCCAAAGAAAAGATAACACCAATACATTTGCAACAAAGCATGTTGCACATGCTGCTGGATCTTCTTTTCCTTCTTAGCGTTAACCGGCTGTAAACTCTGGATGAAATTTCTGGTTCTTCATCTATTCCTGGGTGTTTGATTCTTGAACTTGCTTTTACAGGACTGGCTTATTTGTATGCAGTCTGTTAGTTCTCCAGAACATTCTGCACAACGTTCTCAGGCCTCTCAGGCAGATGGACTCCAACTTTGAAGGAAATCACCCCTGATTAGTCACCTCTTTGACATGCATGTTGAGGAAGGAGTGGGTCTATTCTCTGTTCTTAAAGGGATCTTGGAACCTACATTGGCAGCTGCTGGGTCAGAAGAGCTGTGCTCTATGTCGACCCATCGGAGCTTCCCTTCTAGACCAGCTGCTGACCAAGTCTAACGTCGCGGTCTGCCCTGCCATAACATTGTTCCTGGTTGCATTTCCTCATTCTAGGATAAGCATTGTGACCTTCTACATTCTAGTTACCTCCTTGCCTTCTCTCCTAGGACCCAAGCCTTTCAATACTGCATGTCTCTAACAGATGTAAACATCAATAACAGATTACCTTTCCACCTCCAGCCTGGATATAACTTGCTCCAAATGTATAACATCCTCGGTCATACCACACAGATGAAGGAGACCAGAGGCTACCACACCATACACAGTTCTGAAAAATTGTATTGTCAATGGACACACTTAGTACACCTGTCAACCTTTATCAGGATATCATTTCATTAACAGAATAATGTTTATCTACGCAGACACTTCCAAGGTTTTGGCTTCAATTCTGCATCCAGGTACATTTTTATAATTGAATTAGCCATTCTCCATATTCCAACTGAAAGCCAACCAGAGAAATGAGTGGAGGGGGTTGATATCCGCAGCAATGAACCTCAAGGGTTCAGAATGCTGAAGAAGAAAAGATTCTCCATATGGGTTCCTGGGCCCCAAATGGGTTCCATTGTGTGGAAAGACAAACTGGACTCACTGCCCCCTAAAAAAGCATGCATGCGCACACAGGCTCTGTCTGAGTGGTTCAACACTGTGCCCATGTGGACTGTGTGCATAGACGCAGAACATGTCCCGCAGGGCTCTCTCTTCAACACTGTGCCCATGTAGACTGTGTGCATAGACGCAGAACATATCCCGCAAGGCTCTCCCTTTAACACTGTGCCCATGTGGTCTGTGTGCATAGACACAGAACATGTCCCGCAAGGCTGTCCCTTGAACACTGTGCCCATGTGGACTGTGTGCATAGACACAGAACATGTCCCGCAAGGCCCTCCCTTCAACACTGTGCCCATGTAGACTGTGTACATAGACACAGAACATGTCCCGCAAGGCTGTCCCTTGAACACTGTGCCCATGTAGACTGTGTACATAGACACAGATCATGTCCTGCAAGGCTTTCCCTTTAACACTGCGAACATGTAGACTGTGCATAGACACAGAACATGTCCCGCAAGGCTGTCCTTTGTATAAGAAGTGCCAAATAACATCAAATGTGACTAGAATGCTCAACAGAGGCAATGGGAGACAGCTCACAAACACAACCAAACATTTTGTGTGCATCTTTTCTATTCCCTCTGAAAAAAGGATTGAAAAAGAGTGGCAGATTGTTGCCTCCTTGGTTTGTTAGCTGGGTTATTGCTTAGTTCGTAAATATTTGGTGGTGGAAGGAGAAAAAAAAGGGTGGGGGGTGGGGAAGTGTGTAAAAAAAAAAGTGGCAGAAAAACGAACATGGAACGACCACATGAAGAAATTAGCCGGACTGAATTACATACATTTCTTCTTATTCTTCTTTACGTTGGGTTTCGTATGCTTAGATCAGAAAATCAGGTGGGTTACCTCTATGAACTCGCATGTCAACTGCAGGTCCTGCATGGTTCCCCATAGATTGCTCTGCATCCTTTGCTCTTGAGGCCAGGTGTCTTTTTGAAGTTGTAGGTAGAGTGGGCAGGTCAGCAGAATGTGCTCAGGTGTTTGTGGTCCTGTTTGACAGGCACACTGTTGGGATTCTACATTCTTTATTTTATGCATGTGGTTGCTAAACCAGCAGTGTCCTGTTTGTAGACGGAAAATTGTTGATGTTGTTTTCTGTTGAGTCTGCTGAATGGGGTCTTGTGGATGGTTACTGTTAGTTTGTTCTCTCCACAATTCCTTTATTCTCCCTTGATAAGTGTTCAGATTTCTGGTAACGATAATGGATGAGTGTGTTTATTCTCCTTTGTTCCATTTTTGGCAAGTCTGTCTGCTGACTTATTTCCTGGTATACCGCAGTGAGCCGGTCTCCAGTGGAGAACAATTTGATTGTTTTCTGTGAGTCTGTTTAGCTGGTGGGTCAGCTCTCTCTCTCTCTCCATGTTGTCTCGTGGATTCCTCTGGGTCGTCTGGAGGACTGACATGCAGTCACAAAGGAAAACAATTTTGCTGTTTTTGATTTTTATTTCTTCAAGCACTTTGGCAGCATCAATAATTGCTTGCTGCTCTGTTTTGAAGTTTGTTGGGAGTCTTTCAAAGGCGCATAACATTTCTACTGTGATTCCATCTTGCAGCATGATGACCGATCTAGCGCCCCCATTTTTTTCTGCTCCCACCAATGATCCATCGGTGTATACGTGTGTCCATTCGGGTTTTGGGTAACAGCGGTAGACGTGTTCAAGGGTCTCTGCAAGCAGTACTAGGTCACATTCTTCAGCCATTTTGTCTATGTCTGGAATTGTTGTTGTGAATGTATAGTTAGTCTGTAGGTCTATGCTGTATGCCTGGATTATTTCCCATGTTGAAGGATCTTAACAAAGATGTCACTGTTTTTTGCGTAGTACAATTTTGATAGATGGTGATAGCTATGTCTTTTCAGTCGGTTTTCAGTTAAGTTGTTTGCTATACTGTGCATGAGGTTGTTGTTCATACGTTTACATTTTTCTGTTAGGGTAAGCACCTTTTCTTCCCTTTGAAGGCTCAAACTCTGGAGGCCAGAAGTTGCCTCCAGCTCACTGACTGGTGTGCTTCTCATACCTCCAGTGATGATTCTGAGACCAGTGTTCTGTATTGTGTCTCAGTTTGTGTAGGTTTGATCTGTCTGCAGTGGAGTATGCTCCCATGCCATAGTCCAGTTCTGGTCGTACTTAGGAATCAATGAGTTAATGTTTCTGGTATGGAAAGAGTTAAGTTAATAAAAGTATTTCATATTTCAGTTTCTGAGAACTTCTAGTAAAGTCGCATTTAATGCATCATTGTCAAACAAGCAACAACCTTCACTTACCCCAAAGCCAGGCCCACAGCAGATCCTGCAACAAATCCCTTGGGACCCATGTTAAGACGAGCCAAACCACCCGTAATTCCTAATGAAAAAACATACAAACTACTGTGGTATTTCACTAATATCAATGATTCACTGCATGCTCTGATGGTGTAGTGCTAAATAAGAAACAAAATAAATATTATTCCCAGGGAATGTGAAAAGAAATGATTAAAACTGAAACAAATCAAGAACAAATGTTACAGTTTGCACCCCATTTGGGTTCCAAGGACCCCCCCCCCCCCCCCACCCGCAACTTGGAGAAGGGTTGGAGGGGGGATAAACCCATTTTCCTAACAAACATGTCATTCAAGACGACTAATTGGAGGTTTTATGAAAACTAATATTTTGAGCCAAAAGGTAACACACATTGCTGACCTGTAAACAATACACAATATGCCAACCGTCTACAATGGGAAAAAAACAAGAAAAAGAAGAAGGAGGAGGAGGAAGAGAAGAAGAAGCACTGCAATAAAACAGGATGACGCTTGAACTAGCAGAGATATTCCATTATCCGCAATGGGTGATAGCACCAGCTGGGAAAGTAACCGAGACTACACACTAGGGGTGATAGCACCAGCTGGGAAAGTAACCCAGACTACACGCTATGGGTGATAGCCCCAGCTGGGAAAGTAACCCAGACTACACGCTATGGGTGATAGCCGCAGCTGGGAAAGTAACCCAGACTATATGCAATGGGTGATAGCACCAGCTGGGAAAGTAACCCAGACTACACGCTATAGGTGATAGCCCCAGCTGGGAAAGTAACCCAGACTACACGCTATGGGTGATAGCACCAGCTGGGAAAGTAACCCAGAGACTACATGCAATGGGTGATAGCACCAGCTGGGAAAGTAACCCAGACTACACGCTATGGGTGATAGCACCAGCTGGGAAAGTAACCCAGAGACTACACACAATGGGTGATAGCACCAGCTGGGAAAGTAACCCAGAGACTACATGCAATGGGTGATAGCACCAGCTGGGAAAGTAACCCAGAGACTACACGCAATGCGTGATAGCACCAGCTGGGAAATTAACCTAGAGACTACATGCAATAGGTGAGAGCACCAGCTGGGAAAGTAACCCAGAGACTATACACAATGGGTGATAGCACCAGCTGGGAAAGTAACCCAGAGACTACATGCAATGGGTGATAGCACCAGCTGGGAAAGTAACCCAGAGACTACACGCAGAATAACCCAAGAAAAGGCAGCATCCTTCAGCTGAAGAATGCTGACCTGTCCAAAAGGGAACATTCGATCAAGCAGAGAGATCAGCTGGTTTTGCACCAATAGGTGGTAAAGGGACAAAAAATAGTTCATATATAATCATATCGCTTCTGTATGAACTGACATAAAATGGTTCACATATAATCATATCAGCTGGGTATGAACTGACAAAAAAATAGTTCCGATATAATCAAATTCCTTTGGTATGAACTGACACACAAAAAAGTTCATATATAATCATATCGCCTGGGTATGAACTGACATAAAATAGTTCACATATAATCATATCACCTGGGTATGAACTGGCATAAAATAGTTCACATATAATCATATCACCTGGGTATGAACTGGCATAAAATAGTTCACATATAATCATATCACATGGGTATGAACTGGCATAAAATAGTTCACATATAATCATATCACCTGGGTATGAACTGGCATAAAATAGTTCACATATAATCATATCATCTGGGTATGAACTGACATAAAATAGTTCACATATAATCATATCACCTGGGTATGAACTGACATTTTCAGCCTTTGCATGTCCCATTGTGGGTTTCAGGGCACTATGTTTGGGGTGGGAGGCGGGGAGAAGAACAAATCAGCTGCCTCTTCGCAATCACGTCATAAAAGGCGACTAAAAAAAGGGTTTGTTTAGTCAGATGTGGTGGGGGGGGGGGAAAACTCATAGATACTCCAGCCTAGTTGTAAACTATCAAATCTGCCAACCACAATTTAAAAGACTAATGCAGAAAAGGAAGAAAAGCTGTCGCAAGGATGCATCCGTACCACTTGCCATCCACTCCCAACACCCTCGGTTCCCAAAAATAAGGGTCATCAAAGTGTGAGCATTTGGGATGAAGCTGACTGGTTCAGACAATTTTGTCTGCCATTTCTTTTTTTCTTCATGTTTGCTGGCTGTAAACTCTGATGGTAGGTTATGGTTGTTTGTCCAAAAGACTTTAGTCTTTTCCCATAATCTTAGTGTTGTATGCACACCAGTTTTACAGATCTGACTCACCTGTACGCAGACTTTTAGGTCTTTGCCTCACATACACTCACATACACATGCACTCCAACTTCGAAGGAGGCCCCCAATTAGTCAAATCTTACTACATGGGTCTATTTGTGTTTTAGCCAAAATTCCCCCCCCCCCCCTCTCTGTGGGTTCCGGGGTCCTATTATAGGGAAAAAAAGAATAGACCCACTGCTTACCCAAAAGCATGTCGTGAGAGTCGACTAATTGGGAGCTTCCTTCAAAGTCGGAGTGCATCTGCCCAAGAGGCAAATAACTGACAGCCTGCACACAAATGTGTCAGATCTGTCAAAACGGATGCACACGCAACACTCAGGTTCTGGAACAGGACTGCAGTCCAGAACTGGACGAACAACCTGAACTTTCCACCATAGTTTACAGCTGGTGAACGCAAAGGAGAAGAAGAAGAAAAAATATCAATTAAAACAAAAAGTAGAACATGAACACAAACCAATGCCCATGATACTATCAGACAGATTGTGAGAATTACACCTTGTACTAGATTCCTTGAGAAACAGCAAATCATGTGGTTTGGACATCTCGTTAGAATGCAGCAACATCAAATACTATCTATACTATGGATCAAGAAAATTAAAAACACTTTACGCCTTCATGGAGTGACAACAGCCTGTGCCAGCTAGTGTGCACTGGATCACAAACTGTTCTTCCCCATGCAGCTTAATGACAGAAGTGGTTTATGGTGATGATGTTGACATCTCCATTACATGAACGGATAATGTTAAAATTAAGATCAATAATTACAAAAAAAACTTTCAACTGAAGTATCTCTGAGAGAAATCCACATGTCTAGCCGGATGAATCTCTGACATGTTTGTGACATCGGAAATGAAAACTAACTAGAAAAAAAAGCTGTGGCAGCCAAGGGCCATAACCAAACATATTCAATAAAATTGTGTTGGACATTAAGTCCCCTAAACAAACTAGAGACCATTAGGTCAACGGTTCTCGAGAGACTTACAGAGTATGTCAATGTAGTAGCTAGACATGATGGTCACAGTTGTAATCTCCATGTTTGAAACACCTTGATGTCCATGAGAAACGAAATGGTGAACACCAGCAAGTTTATTTGTCCAGAATTAAAAGAAAAATGTGTACCATCTCTACACTTCCTGCAGTGCCTCTGCTGACTTAGGCAATACCACACTGTGAGCCTCAACCTCTTCCATGTTGTGACTTTTGTCCCAAAGTAAAAATGCCACGAGAACAGTTAAAAAACAATTATCTGTATCTGTCCGCTGCAGAAATCTAACCCTGATTTGTCTAGGAAAAATATTCAGTGACCTCTATGGCACAGATCCCTATTTTCCATGATGGAAATCACATATAGTGATGATCTCTTTCTCCAGAAGGAGACTGACCTTCTTAACCCGGGAACAGTTTTAATTTTAAAAAAAATTAAAAGCTATGACCCCACTGAAATTTCCACACACAAAAATCCGTTCTTTTTCTTCTTCTGCATCCTCCAAAGACGTAACTGTGTTTTGCCCATTTACAACACACGGCTGTGATTTTGCCCCCTTCCGGCCAACACATCCAATTTCTGCGGGCATTTGTAGACCGGGTTAGTCTTCCCAGTTTAAAATCCTTTCAAAAACTACAATATTACATAGGACACTAATAGATTCGATAAAAATGTTTTCACCTATATTTGTTTCTCTAGAGATATATAACGATATGAGAGTGACCTTTAAACAAGAATAGGGTGAAGCATTAACAGGAATACACTCCCTGGGGATTAAAACAAAACACATACATTGGGTGACTCACGTCGTGACAAGTGACCTCTTTCATTGAGGCTAATGAGAAAATCTGACAACCTGGTTTTAAAAGAGCTGTTGGCTTAAAGGAACTCTAACCCTGAGATGCTATTCATTTACTTCTTTATTTGGCTACTAAAGCGACAACTACGAGGACACTCATACTGGACAAGGAAAATATTCTGAAAACAATATATGAATGAATGTTGACAGAAGACACGAGATTAGATGAAATAGCATGTGTAAGAATGTGTGAATGAGTAATTAGGAAAGGATCCGGCACGGAAGTATGTATGACAGGAAGAGAACAACGTGTGTATAATCAGTGTGCTGCGGGAACAGTTAGCATTTAGACCTTCAGAAATTTCATTTCCTGCAGGAGACTGAGCACCTATGGGTATGCCTTGTGTGCTATGATGTTGATTTTTAAATCAGTAATCAGTAGTCAGTAATTCGAAAATTCTCCACAGTTGAAGTTACATAAGAGGACATAAGAATTTTAGAAAGGATTAGGTGGAGCATGACACATAAAGGGTTGGTAAACACTGGTTAAGGGTATCAGGGGATAGCGAAGTCACCACACGAATGAGGCTGTAACTGTCCCACAATATCCTATGAAACTAGTGGGAAAACTAACCTAACCTGGTAGATCAATCCATGATGAAGTCATTTATGTCAGCTGAAAGGAGCAAATATCGCAGCTACAGGCAAAAGCAATTATGTCACCCGATCGAACAATGATGAAGAACCAGTATCACACGAAGTAGAAAACAGGCTCAAGATACTCCACGGGGAGCTCTGAGTTCAGGAAATAAAGACACAGAGAAATTTAGGACACAAAAAAACACCAAAATCAACAAAAACAAAACTTGTTCTATTTACCAGAAGCCAGTACGTAATCACTCACTGATGTTTTATTTCTATATGATGCCAGAAACTGGGATATTAACCTGCAGAAACAACAAGAGATTATATTTTTTCAAGGTAAAAATAGGTATTTTTCAAATAAACATTTTCCTGTGTGGGTTTCGGGGCCTCAAATTGGTTAAAAGAGATTAGACCCGCTCCCAACCACCCCCTCTTTGCCAAAAGCATGTTGTAAAAGGCAACTACCCAGGCGTGTTTCCTTCGATGACAGAGTACATCTGCCACAGTGAACAAAACGTCTACACACAAATAAGCCAGATCTGTAAAATGGATGTGCATGCAAAACTCAAGTTCTGGAACAAAACCAAAATTCAGAAGTGGATGAACAATCAGAACTCTACACCAGAGTTTACAGCTTGTGAACATTAATTTAAAAAATGAAATAAAACAAATGTAAAGCCCATTTGTGACCTGATGCATGTGTGATCTCAAGGAATAAGCCAATGCGTAAGTGTTTCAAAGGCCCATTTCAGGATTTTGGGAGGGAGAACAAAAAAATAGAACAGACATCTATATCCTCTTCATGTCGTTGTTGACACATAAGGTATTCACAAGTGATCTCCACTGCTGCCGGTCTAGTGCTTATCTGTCCATGGTATCCCATGTCAGTTTACATTCCTTCATTTCCCGTTCTATTGTCCTTCTTCAAGTTTCCCTAGGTCGTCCCCGTCTCCTTTTCCCATCTGCTTTCCACCGGAGTGCTGTTTCTGCCCGAGTGTCACACGGCATTCTGCAAACATGTCCAAGCCATCTCCATCATCTTACTTTGATAACATTTGCCAGTGATGCAGATTCTGTTTTCCTCATCAGTTCTTCATTTGTGATCCTGTTTGGCCAAAATATTCGTAGTATTCTTCTTAAACATTTATTTTGAAAAAAACGGTCATAATGCCCCTCAAAAAGCATGTCATAGAAGACAAGTAATTCAGTAATTTACAACAATTTTTTTCTCACCGTGAATTTAAATAATGTGGACAAAAACAATACATTACACAATTTATTGCCAGGCATATTTCGTCTAATTTCATCACGTGCTTTACTGCCAGTGTTATATTAATATATAAGAACAACCAAATAACTAATTTCTACCAGTGAAATACACAGACATCTCGAGTTACACTGTACACCTCACCAAGGACATTTAAAATAGCTGCATGATTACCTCAGCAGTTTGAGATTTACAACATGCTCTTTTTGTCTGCACAATGTGAGACTGTTCTATTTTGGGCATTTTTCTTCTCCCCCTAACTCAAAATGCTGTGATTTGGTATATATGACTTCCTTTTATATCATACATAGGAAGGAGTAGTTGACAAAAAACAAACAAAAACACACACTTACAAACATAAAATTACACACACATGCACACACATATACACATACGCACACACACACATAAATAGATTTACTTATGCATATTTATAAGGAATGGCGAACTGTAACAAAATGTTATATAATTTTGAAATAGACACTTACAAAACTGAAGCGCAGAACGTTGTCACCTTTAGGGAAAGACGTCCACCTGCAAGAATAGCTTCGACTGATGCATAGTCAGACATCTTCCGCTGGTTGAAAAAGATATACCAAATGATAATTAAGAAGAATAAACAACAGAGGAGTCAAAATATTATAGGACCATTGGAAGTATAAACTTCATAGGAGGTTTTTAATAATGTCCCCAATAAATAACAGGTTGACCCAGCCTTGAATGGGTACCAGGTGCAGTCCTGGGAAGTAAAGGTGGCCTGCTTAATGCTGACAAAATCACCCACCAAGTGCCAAGTGGTCTATAAAAATATAGGTCTAGCCCTATATTCCCAATACACGTAAAGGCGTGAAAAGGGACCTTTTATCTATAAAAAAGCCTCTTTATGTTCTTGACAACCTCTACGACAGGGCTATTCAACTTAACTCTACCAGACTGACGTACCGCTTCTGCAGTAATTTCCTAATCTGCAGCTAAACCGCTGTACCCCATTGTCGGTACTTTGTGTGCTACATGATAAAACCCATCACAAACTACAAATAACCAACCAATCATGATCAAACCTCGTGGTTAGTCATTGCGAATGACTGCCCACTTGATTGGATTTACTTTGTGTGGTTTAACATGAACAAATTCTGAAAATTCACAATGAAATTAGCAGCTGATAAAGCAAGCACTTCGACTGGAAAGTGAAGTAGGTCTAGGTTTTCAACAGTCCAACAGGTGATCAATAATTTGGTTGATTCAGACTTTGAGGAGTCAGAATTTCACGAAGAATATATTCCAATTCAAGTGACACAGTCGGTGAGAGATTGAGTAATGAGGAGCCATCAAACAGCAACATCTGGTGCTCACTTTGTGAAACAAGGCTGATCTTGCTGGGTGGCATGCAAAGGTGGAATATTGAAGACTTCCGGTTAAAATGGACGCTAGACAGCGGCGCTGTTCGAAACAGAGGCCAATTTTTTGCTTCTGCCGGACGGTAGCCGAAGTATTTTTGCTCCATTTGTAGACTGGATATAGTTTCGTCGCCCAGCTCTGAGTTGAATGCATGGCGTGACCCTGTGAGCTGCGGATTGCATTTGGAATGTTTTTTTCGACTGTGACCAACGTGGTGTGAATTGGAGATTCAGAAAATGGCGTGATGCCGGTCGTCAATGTTGGCGGTGCCCGGATGTGATTACAATTGATCGCGTGGGCAACTGCTGATCTGTTGGCGACAAGTTCTGCTATCATCAATGATGAACTGCATTTCTAATGTTGGACTGTTTGTGCTAGCACTTCGGATGGCTACCGTATGCTTTAATGTGAGTGTATGCTAGATATGCTGAGACAGCAGTCTGTCAATCTTTCCACAAGGGACTGTGATAAACATTCTGAGTGTTTTTTCGTTGGCACAGGAGCGGAGCAAAGATGGGGCGACCCGTTTGCTATGAAGCTGAAACTAAGACTACCAGACATTGAAGCTAGATGAAAGATAAACCTATTTTCTACAATGTCTCCAAGTTTCATCTTATTCTAACCACTTGTTTGCATGTAACTAATATTTTGTGTATATCATGCTGGTTTTTGTGTGCTAATGCCCAGGAGGACAGGTAAAGGGGGCAGTTAGTTTCAGGGCCTCAGGTCTCAAAGGGTTAAGTTTACTCAGGGACCAAAATGTTGTAGGAATAATCAGGGACCAAGGCCCAAGCCACAGCACAGAAAGATCACCGTTTTTGCAATCTTCTTCTTCTTCTTCTTTGTGTTCACCGTCTGTAAACTCTGGTAGAAAGTTCTGGTTGTATATCCACTTCTGGACTCGAGTGCTGTTCCAGAAACTGAGTGTTGTCTGCACAACCCTTTCACACATCTGACTCATTGCATGCACACTGCTGGTTCCATGCCTCTCTGGCAGATGTATTCCAACTATGAAGGAACTCCCAATCAGTCGACATGCTTGTTGGGATGGCAGTGCATCTATTCTTGTTTTCCCCACAGTGGGGCTCCGGAACTCTCACAGGGATGTCTTGGCAAACATCCACGGGCCACTTGCTAAGCGTTTGCATCAGGTGTCCCTTTCAACAGCCCTGCTCTACGGGCATGCTCTTCCAGGTCATGACTCCCAGGTGTCTTTCCCCTACTGTACATACAAATCCAGTATGCCAACTCCGAGACATGTTTTCAACATAAACTGTGGTCATCACACACAATCCTCCGCTATGCATTCCTATCAAACAGCCACTCTGCAATCAGGAAGGTGGACACTAGGTACCTGGTGCATCGTGATCCAATTCATTCTCTATTATCATTAGGGGACCGCATTAGTGCAGTCGACCGGAGACTCGCTTTCAAATCCAGCAGCGACTCTCTGCAGCCCACGGCCGGTGTTCGAAACCGGATGGTTCCAGGGGTTGATCCAGCCTCCAGGAAATAGGTACCAGAGTTAACACGCCGCTGTAGTTATGAAGTTTCCTGCTGATAGCGACACAGGCGGATAGTTTTTTCTCAGCTGCCCGTACTGGTCGCAGAGTACTTATGGTTTATAACCGTGTTCAATGACACTGGTTCACATCTCACGACTTTACCTTTTTATTCTCACATCACCTGTAAACTTGATCAGGAGAAAGCCAGCTCATGTTCCTTGGCCATTTTCCCTCTGTTGCAGTATATAACACTCATGATATGCTGAAGTGTTGTGTATAGGCACAAGAACATGAGGTTCAAGTCCCCGGAGCACCCAAAAATGGCTACATAAATTTTCACAGAGAGCGTAGAGAGGGTTAGATAAAGAGATGGAGAGCAAGTAGGAGTGAGAGAGAAAGAGAGAGAGAGGGAGAGAAATTAAAGTGAGAGACACAGATTTTTTAAAAAAAAAATCAATCGTGAAAGCAAAATATACAAACTGTAATTTATATAAAACTGAAAACACTGACGGCAAGACTGAGTGAGAGAACAATTAAAAGTGAGAGACATTAAGACAGAGGAAGCTGCCATGGTGTGGTGGCTAGATGCTCGCCTGCGGATCCGAAAAACTGCTTTGGACCTGACAGAGCTGGACTTTTTTTCAAAAATGACCTTTGCTCCCAGACTGACCCAGCCTGAAATAAGTACCAAGTTAAAGTGGCCTGCATGATGCCGACCGCATCCCCCACCAAGTGCCGACCACATCCCCCACCAAGTGCCGACCACATCCCCCACCAAATGCCGACCACATCCCCCACCAAGTGCCGACCACATCCCCCACCAAGTGCCGACCACATCCCCCACCAAGTGCCGACCACATCCCCCACCAAGTGCCGACCACATCCCCCACCAAATGCCGACCACATCCCCCACCAAGTGCCGACCACATCCCCCACCAAGTGCCGACCACATCCCCCACCAAATGCCGACCACATCCCCCACCAAGTGCCGACCACATCCCCCACCAAGTGCCGACCACATCCCCCACCAAGTGCCGACCACATCCCCCACCAAGTGCCGACCACATCCCCCACCAAGTGCCGACCACATCCCCCACCAAGTGCCGACCACATCCCCCAACAAGTGCCGACCACATCCTCCAACAAGTGCCGACCACATCCCCCACCAAGTGCCCATTGGTTTATAAAATACAGGTTTAGCCCTATATGCCCAATATGCCTACAAGCGTGCTAAAAGTTTCCTTTACTTTTTACAGAAAGACAGAGAGATAATGAGGGAGCAAGACAGAGAGATAATGAGGGAGCAAGACAGAGAGATAATGAGGGAGCAAGACAGAGAGATATTCAGGGAGCAAGACAGAGAGATAATGAGGGAGCAAGACAGAGAGATAATGAGGGAGCAAGACAGAGAGATAATGAGGGAGCAAGACAGAGAGATATTCAGGGAGCAAGACAGAGAGATAATGAGGGAGCAAGACAGAGAGATAATGAGGGAGCAAGACAGAGAGATAATGAGGGAGCAAGCCAGAGAGATATTCAGGGAGCAAGACAGAGAGATAATGAGGGAGCAAGACAGAGAGATAATAAGGGAGCAAGACAGAGAGATAATGAGGGAGCAAGACAGAGAGATAATGAGGGAGCAAGACAGAGAGATAATGAGGGAGCAAGACAGAGAGATAATGAGGGAGCAAGACAGAGAGATAATGAGGGAGCAAGACAGAGAGATAATGAGGGAGCAAGACAGAGAGATAATGAGGGAGCAAGACAGAGAGATAATGAGGGAGCAAGACAGAGAGATAATGAGGGAGCAAGACAGACAGAGATAATGAGGGAGCAAGACAGAGAGATAATGAGGGAGCAAGACAGAGAGATAATGAGGGAGCAAGACAGAGAGATAATGAGGGAGCAAGACAGAGAGATAATGAGGGAGCAAGACAGAGAGATAATGAGGGAGCAAGACAGAGAGATAATAAGGGAGCAAGACAGAGAGATAATGAGGGAGCAAGACAGAGAGATAATGAGGGAGCAAGACAGAGAGATAATGAGGGAGCAAGACAGAGAGATAATGAGGGAGCAAGACAGAAAGATAATGAGGGAGCAAGACAGAGAGATAATGAGGGAGCAAGACAGAGAGATAATGAGGGAGCAAGACAGAGAGATAATGAGGGAGCAAGACAGAGAGATAATGAGGGAGCAAGACAGAGAGATAATGAGGGAGCAAGACAGAGAGATAATGAGGGAGCAAGACAGAGAGATAATGAGGGAGCAAGACAGAGAGATAATGAGGGAGCAAGACAGAGAGATAATGAGGGAGCAAGACAGAGAGATAATGAGGGAGCAAGACAGAGAGATAATGAGGGAGCAAGACAGAGAGATAATGAGGGAGCAAGACAGAGAGATAATGAGGGAGCAAGACAGAGAGATAATGAGGGAGCAAGACAGAGAGATAATGAGGGAGCAAGACAGAGAGATAATGAGGGAGCAAGACAGAGAGATAATGAGGGAGCAAGACAGAGAGATAATGAGGGAGCAAGACAGAGAGATAATGAGGGAGCAAGACAGAGAGATAATGAGGGAGCAAGACAGAGAGATAATGAGGGAGCAAGACAGAGAGATAATGAGGGAGCAAGACAGAGAGATAATGAGGGAGCAAGACAGAGAGATAATGAGGGAGCAAGACAGAGAGATAATGAGGGAGCAAGACAGAGAGATAATGAGGGAGCAAGACAGAGAGATAATGAGGGAGCAAGACAGAGAGATAATGAGGGAGCAAGACAGAGAGATAATGAGGGAGCAAGACAGAGAGATAATGAGGGAGCAAGACAGAGAGATAATGAGGGAGCAAGACAGAGAGATAATGAGGGAGCAAGACAGAGAGATAATGAGGGAGCAAGACAGAGAGATAATGATGGGGAGCAAGACAGAGAGATAATGATGAGGACAGAGCAAGACAGAGAGATAATGAGGGAGCAAGACAGAGAGATAATGAGGGAGCAAGACAGAGAGATAATGAGGGAGCAAGACAGAGAGATAATGAGGGAGCAAGACAGAGAGATAATGAGGGAGCAAGACAGAGAGATAATGAGGGAGCAAGATAGAGAGATAATGAGGGAGCAAGACAGAGAGATAATGAGGGAGCAAGACAGAGAGATAATGAGGGAGCAAGACAGAGAGATAATGAGGGAGCAAGACAGAGAGATAATGAGGGAGCAAGACAGAGAGATAATGAGGGAGCAAGACAGAGAGATAATGAGGGAGCAAGACAGAGAGATAATGATAGAGCAAGACAGAGAGATAATGAGAGAGCAAGACAGAGAGATAATGAGAGAGCAAGACAGAGAGATAATGAGGGAGCAAAGAGAGATAATGAGGGAGCAAGACAGAGCGATAATGAGGGAGCAAAGAGAGATAATGAGGGAGCAAGACAGAGAGATGAGGGAACAAGACAGAGAGATAATGAGAGAGCAAGACAGAGAGATAATAAGGGAGCAAAGAGAGATAATGAGGGAGCAAGACAGAGAGATAATGAGGGAGCAAGACAGAGAGATAATGAGGGAGCAAGACAAAGAGATAATGAGGGAGCAGGAGCAAGACTGAGAGATAATGAGGGAGCAAGACAGAGAGATAATGAGGGAGCAAGACAAAGAGATAATGAGGGAGCAGGAGCTAGACAGAGAGATAATGAGGGAGCAAGACAGAGAGATGAGGGAACAAGACAGAGAGATAATGAGGGAGCAAGACAGAGAGATAATAAGGGAGTAAGACAGAGAGATAATGAGGGAGCAAGACAGAGAGATAATGAGGGAGCAAGACAGAGAGATAATGAGGGAGTACGACAAAGACATGAGGGAGCAAGACAGAGAGATAATGAGGGAGCAAGACAGAGAGGTAATGAGGGATCAAGACAGAGAGATAATGAGGGAGCAGGAGCAAGACAGAGAGATAATGAGGGAGCAAGACAAGAGAGATAATGAGGGAGCAAGACAGAGATAATGAGGGAGCAAGACAGAGATAATGAGGGAGCAAGACAGAGAGATATTCAGGGAGCAAGACAGAGAGATAATCAGGGAGCAAAACAGAGAGATAATCAGGGAGCAAGACAGAGAGATAATCAGGGAGCAAGACAGAGAGATAATGAGGGAGCAAGACAGAGATAATGATGCAGCAAGACAGAAAAAGGCAGCAAAAAGAAAATAAGAGATAACAAAGCACGACAAAGAGAAAGATAGAGTAAGAGACAGCAACACATACCACAGCTTCAGTGTGAGTTTTAAATACAGTTGCATTATGTTCCCTGATGAATTCACTCTTTGCAAATTTATATGCTGGCAGATAGTTCAGGAAGAAACCAATTAGAGCAATCGGGACCAGTGCTGTTTTTATGTACACCATCTGAGGGCTGGATTCTCCTTTGTAGCTGCAAAAAAAAGCAGAAAGTCAATTATTTTTAAGGAGTCAAAGAAGTGTAAGGATGAGCAATGATGTTCAGACCAAGTGGAAATCAGAAAAGAGGATCCCCATGTAAACAATGGACAGAGTAACAGAATCTTAGCAAACCTGTATTTAAGAAGAATGTAAACAGTCACTCCCAAAAAATATGGATCAACAACATTTCAGACACTCTATGCCTTCACAGTATGACAATAGCCACTGGATCGCAAATTATTCCTCCCCACGACCCTTTATGGCAGAAGTGGTTTATGATAATGATGATGTAAACCGGCACTCTCAAACTGTTTAAACTTCCCACTGCAATGTACAAGCGAACAGAGATGAAATAAGATGAATCTACTTCTTTCTTTTGATTAGTAATTTTTTTTTGTGCTGCCAGGCAATGCATTTTAATCGAAAATATCCATGTGCAGGTTCCGAGACCTCCTTGTGTGTGTGTGTGTGTGTGTGTGTGCGTGTGTGTGTGTGTGTGTGTGTGGGGTTGGGGAGAGACAGACCCAATGCCTCGCTAACAAGCATGCCGTAGGAGTTGTCTAATTAGGGGTTTCCTTTGAAGTCAGAGTGCATCTGCCAACACAACATGAATGCCTGTGTGCACCCAAACTTCACAAAGCCCTGGCTTCATTAACTATTTACACACCACAGTGACTTTTGTATACAACAAATGTTTCATTTAAAATTGTAAAACAATATAACTTCTGGAATAAGATCAAAGTCCAAAAGTGGACGAACAATCAGAACCTTTAGCCGGAGATCACATCTGATAAACTCACAGATTAGACAGAGAACCTAAACAAATTCCAACAAACCAATTGTGGGAAGGAATCTCCAAATTTTGGGAGAAGAAAAGAAACATGCACTGCCCTTTAACAACTATGTTGTGAAACATAATTAATTAGGGGTTTGTGGAAGTCAGATGTGTTGGGCTGTAAACCACCTAGCTATAAGCCACTTAGCTATAAGCCACCTAGCTATAATACACTTAGCTATAAACCACCTAGCTATAATACACTTAGCTATAAACCACAACAAAATGGACCAACCATGCTTATAAGGGTGAAAGCTGAATAAGAAAAATAATGTGATAAGGACACTGGTACTGAATAAGGAAAAATCTGAGATAACACATTAACAGTGAAACTTGAAAGTTTGTTCCAATCTGAGATAACACATAAACAGTGAAACTTGAAAGTTTGTTCTCTGGAACCTAAAATATTAAGGACAGAATCAGAAGAAACCATGATGGATGTGGGGGAAACATAAAAGCTGAAGGTGAATGTACAAGATCAGACCGCTTGATGTGCTGAGTGCAGAACTATGCCTAAATGCTGGATAGATGAAAGAAGAACTATTAAGTTAAAAGCCAAATAATAGGGCTGCAGACATTTCTGTCCTTATCTGCAGCAGCCTACACAGAGTTGCTATTTTGACTGTACGTCTGTCTTGCCTTCATCTGAGTGTTGACCATCAGCTAGATCACCTGGTCACTCCCTGCCTCACTAGTCTATTCAGACAGAAGAAGAAGGAGGTGGAGAAAGCAGAAGAAAATAAGTCGAAGAAGAGATACTTTGATCAAACTGGACAATGTACAACAGGGCAATTCAGCTGGTGGCACACAAGTCAAATCTTGCGGGCTAAGGCTTCTAAGTGGCCAGCAGATCATTGCCAATTATTTATACTGTACCTTTCTATGCTGGGGCAAGGGCCTTTAACCCGTAACCATCACCATATTCAACATTTAGGCCGCTAAGTTAACTTAGTTGAATAGCCCTGATGTACAACCTCACAGTGCCACCAAAAAGAGTATACATTGTTTTGCTGCTTGCAATCTTTCTTGCTACATTTTACTTACTCCTTTTTTAACAACATCCTTACTCTATCCATCCCTGTCTCCCGCGCAATGTACGCTTTTGCCAGTGCTTCCAAAGAACTCTGTGACAGCCCCTCCTCAGCAGTATCTGCCGTGTGCACCTCACCTTCTTTTCCTGCGTTGACATCGCTATTATTTTCAATGTCTGACGCGTAAACTTTAGGAAACAGGCACATTTTATTCAAATTACTAAATAATTTAGACCAGTGTGAGTTTCTTTTGCCACAGTTTGTAAAACGAGAGCACGATATTTCCAATACTACTACCAAGCGATTCTGCTTGCTTTTTCTGTAAGAATGGTATGGATACAAGTTGCTGTAAACTGCATGTTGATTATGAATGTTATAATTAAGTGTGCCCAAGCTTGTATACGCTGGGAGTATAAATTCCCCGCAAGTTTTTATGTAGGAGTCTCGATTTATATCGTTGTCCGTCATCTTGTCCTTCGGTGAAATATGACAAAAACAAGCAGCGTTGAGCTTGTCCAGTTCTAGCAGTATAGAAAATATCCCTCCAGTGCAATTTTTCTATCTCTGCGGTAGTCTATCTCAAGTCAGTAAAGTCGTGACTTTCTAAATAAGTCGATGGTGTTATTTTAGGACAAGTACAGAAATGTAAGTAGCTGGGCACATGGATAACATCAGATGGAAAATGCATAACTGAGAAAAGAAACAGAATAGGACAGGCAAAAACTGCATTTTATAAAATGAAAAACATTTTGTGCAATATATCCTTGTCATTTAGAGTTAGAAAAAGAATTTTTGCTTGCTACATACTACATACATCCAGTTTTAATATATGGCTGTTAATCGTGGACTATCGGTAGGCAGGCCAAACAATTTCTAGAGGTCTCAGAGATGTGTTTTTACAGAAGAATGCTTAGAATACCTTGGACGGCCAAAAAGAGCAACCAAGATGTTTTGAAAGAGGCCGGAGCCCGAAGACAACTTATCACAGACATCAGAAGGAGACAGTCATCATTTTTCGGCCATGTTATGAGAAGAGGGAAAACAGAACATGTTGTGACCACTGGACAGATCTGTGGAAGGAGGAATAGAGGAAGACAACGAGAGAAGATGATTGACAGTCTTGTTGCATGGCATGGAGGTGTGTCTGCAAACGAACTGATACATGCTGCAGGAGATCGCAGATTATGGAGAGGCATGATCGCCCACGCTAGTCGGCAAGTCATCTGATGATGATGATGAAAGACATGACCCACTCGAAAATATAATGGAGGCGGTGAGTAGAGAACCTTTTTTTTTACGTCAGTGGCGAATCGAAATTTGATACTAGTCATATTTTTATGGAAGTGGAAGAGCCAGAAAGTTATCATTATTATTATAATTATTATTATTTCTTCTCTCCTGCGTCTCTTCTTCTTCTCTTCGTGCTTCTGCTTCATGTTTTTTTTTTTTTTTTTTTTTTTTTTTTTTGTCTTCAACAAGAAATTGACTAAATGAATCTGTAAATTACCTATGATGATGGAAAATATTTTACATATGTTATGTTACCACAATCGACGTCATTGCACTTTATGCATTCCCATACGTGCTCAGTCCTCCGATGCCTGCGATGCAACAGTCGTTCTAAGGTACCTCTACTGATTGTTCTCATAAGAGGCTGTTCCTATCGTGAAGGCGGCACAAACGTGAATCACCATGCTTTACTCCCAGTCATTTTAGTGTCAGTGATATTCGTCATTATTCACTAGCCATGCTCGAAACACACAAATTCACCCGCGTATGTATACTCAGTGATTCAATCAGTATGATCCGGAGGGTTCAGGCAGGTTCGATGCGAAGACAATGGCTTGAATCATTACAGAAGTCCACTGTGCGTGGAGTCACCTTTATTTTTGTTCTGGGACAGGCAGGCGTCGATGGAAATGAAAGAGCTGACAGGTTGGCTGGATCGGCTATCACTACCGACGGTCAGCCTATGGATCATGCTGATATTTTTAATGCCTTCAGAGAAAAGGGAAGGATAGAGGACTTTGGTGGCAGTGAATCCACATCACTCGCCCAGAATGGCAGACTTGGGAATTAAGTTCGGTATAGCAACAACAAAAAAAAACGAGACTCACACCAGTTCATACTGAGCGGAGTATCTGAGCACCTATGGACATGTCCGGAGTGCAATGACGAGAACCCAACTAACTAACTAACTAACTAACTAACTAAATAACTAAATAACTAACTAACTAACTAACTAACTAACTAACTAACTAACTAACTAACTAACTAACTAACTAACTAACTAACTAACTAACTAACTAACTAACTAACTAACTAACCAACTAACTAACTAACCAACTAACTAACTAACTAACCAACTAACTAACTAACTAACTAACTAACTAACTAACTAACTAACTAACTAACCAACTAACTAACCAACTAACCAACTAACTAACCAACTAACCAACTAACTAACCAACTAACTAACTAACCAACTAACCAACTAACCAACTAACTAACTAACTAACTAACTAACTAACCAACTAACTAACTAACTAACCAACTAACTAACTAACCAACTAACCAACTAACCAACTAACTAACTAACTAACCAACTAACTAACTAACCAACTAACTAACTAACTAACCAACTAACCAACTAACTAACTAACTAACCAACTAACTAACTAACTAACTAACCAACTAACTAACCAACTAACTAACTAACTAACCAACTAACTAACTAACCAACTAACTAACTAACTAACTAACTAACTAACTAACTAACCAACTAACTAACTAACTAACTAACTAACTAACTAACTAACTAACTAACTAACTAACCAACTAACCAACTAACTAACTAACTAACTAACTAAACAACTAACTAACTAACTAACTAACCAACTAACTAAACAACTAACTAACTAACCAACCAACTAACTAACCAACTAACCAACTAACTAACCAACTAACTAACCAACCAACTAACTAACTAACTAACTAACTAACTAACTAACTAACTAACTAACTAACTAACTAACTAACTAACTAACCAACTAACCAACTAACCAACTAACACTAGCCAGTTTGTACAGCTTTGATTATATCTGCTCTGTCCATGCTTCTTTTTGTATGCGTTCGCGCATTGCTTGCCACTTGGTCCGCTGTCATTACTTTTTACGCCCGCATGATCAGATGTGTGGATCCAGGTGACGGAGGTTAAGTACAGTTTTCAAATCCTGATGGCGCACTAACACAAGGCATACCTAGTTCAAGCTTCAAATAAGTTATAATTAAGGCATCCGTAACTGTCACACAGTCTGGTGCAACTTATAGTCATGTGCACTAATATTAACTTCTGGGCTAGGAGATTGGGAAGTTAAGTTATATAATGCAGTCCCACGAGTGAAAATTCTTTAATTCTGTGTAGGAATATTAGTCAGTACACAAACACTTACATCATTTTTTAGACAATTGTACATGTTTTCATGGCTCGGACAGTTTCAGTATTACTGTTTGTTTATGTTTTTTCGACAGATCAACATCATGGCACACGGGTCCAACTCGTAAGTGCTCCGTTTTACTTCAGACTCGAGCCTGTCTGAAAATTCTAAGCGCAGTGCACGAACTCTGTTGCACCAGAGAGGATAACTGAATTACTTTGGATGGATTATAAACTCAAAATGTTGCCCAGGCAGGGCCTTAGGGCTACTCTTTTCGATTTCCAACTGCCAAGGGATTTTTTTTACGTGCGCAAGAATACACACGGGCGTTCGATCTTACTACCCAGAGACAAGGGAAAGTACTAGAAGTCCACGTAAAAAAATAAGTCTTTACCAGGGCTTGAACCAGGGACCTCCAGCACTCGAGATGGACACCATATCTCGAAACCACTCAGCCCCCGAATATTACTGCATACGACTTAAGAGTGATGTGTCAGTCCTTCAGATGATTCACAGACAGGTAAAAGAACACATCTCTTGACCCGTTTGCGGTCGTGGCTGTGTATCGACGGAAGCACTCAAAACCCGACATCTTAGGCAGTCTTCTGCTGAGAAACAACACACCCATTCATTGTCATTACCAGAAATCAAAACACTTATAAATGGAAAATACAAGAAATTGTGGAGAGAGCAAACTAACAGTAAACATCCACAATCAACAAACATCAATTTTCCGCCTACGAACAGGACACTGCAGGCTCAAATACCCCATGCATAATATAAATGAAACAGCCGCTGGACGACTGTTATATAAATTGAATTAGGCTTATTTAAGCGAGCTAAAAACCTGGCCAACTTGGGGGTCAGGAAGGATAAAACAAACGGAAGTGACCAGTTCGCCCTCATGTTCGCTAATACAGTTTCGTCCTTTTCAGGACGAAATTTTTTGTCATTTGAAGCCCTACTCTGGCTTTTGCCAGGGGCCGCAATATAGGCAAGCCATAAATATGGCCAAATGTCTGAACGCGGTTTCTGGGACCTCTCCACGGCGATCCTCATCCGCATGGTGGCACTTTGTGTCATCGGGTGTTTATCGCTTGTGTGATGTCCTGGTGGGGTAGAAAGTCAGTCAGTCAGTCAGTTCGCCCTTTTAGGCTCCCTGGTTTTAGGACGAGAAACATGTAGTTTTGATTTGTCCGTTGCGTTCAATGGTTCTACGCAACGTGGGTTGAGATGAGTAGAGAAAGATAGGTTCCATCTATTGTAGGGTATTTTCGAACACGTGGTGAATTGTAATGCATTATTATTTGTGAAGACCTTAGATGATGTTGAGTGAAATAAATAGATGTGAATGTGATAATGATAGTCCCAGCTTTTTGATTCGGATTAGTACTTGTGGTTAGTGTGCGTAGTTTGTTTATTTGTTACCTGGCTTATTAGACTTTACACAGAAGATCTTGTGTCTGGACTAGAAAATCCCTGTTTCTAGTCCCCACCTAAACGAACTATTTTCCTTTTTTTTTATCTTGGTACTTAGGGCTTCTCCACCCTAGTACATAAAGATTGTACAGTTCCCACAGTGTGCCTGTCAAACAGGACCACAAACACCTGAGAACATTCTTCAGACCTGCCCACTCTACCTACAACTTTAAAAAGACACCTGGCTTCAAGTGCAAAGCGTGCAGAGCAAGCTATGAGGAACAATCAATATATATGTCTATCTACTTTTACCTCACCAGGTCATCACACAGGCGATAAACAGCCGATGACACAAAGTACCACCACGTGGAAGAGGATCACCCGCGGAGAGGACCCAAAAACCACGTTCAGCCATTTTACCATATTTATGGAAGGACTATATTGCGGCCCCTGGCAAGAGCTAAGATGGGGCTTAAAATAAGGAAAAATTCCATCCCAAAATGGGATGACTAAAATATGCACGAGGAACCATGTCTGTCTATCTCAATCTACGTTTACCCCACCAGGACATCACACAAGCGATAAACACCCCATGACACAAAGTGCCACCAT